CTAATAATAATAATAATATATATATATATATATATATTATAAATTATACAAACTGTTCTCATGTGCTTCCCCCTCATTTATATACTGCAATTATTAAGGGCATTACTTTTCTTGCTAAAATTCTTCATAAAACTTTCTGAATCACATTATCCCCTTTTAAATATTCCATCATTTCCCATTTATCTTTCAACAAATTAACATCTAACCTTTCTTACAATATATGCGCTAGGCAAACCTACTCTCTCTCTTTACACCATCCCAAATAAACTTGCACCAATCTCCTACAAACATACACTTTCCATTATAATCTTGATGTCCATCACTCTAATATTAAAATGAAGAGAAGTCCTAGCTTGTTTGCTGGGGCCAGAGCAACAATCAATGCAAAAGCAAATGTCTGCCCAAGTGGGCACTTGCAACAGAGGATCTATGAGCAGAAGGAAGAATTCTATGTAACTGTTCCAGAACCCACCAACTGTTCACTACAAATGTACCCGGAACAGTGGCTTCTGAACCTACTCAAGGGAACAACAAACATTTTAAAAGTGCCCCAAAGTGGGAATTTGCAAGGAAGAACAATTAGGAGGAGAGTCAGTGCACTCTCTTTTCACCTAATAAATCTGCAAGCCTGTACATCTCCCATCCCCACCCCCATGCTCCCAATCTCATTCCTGCATTACAGCTGAGAGACCCATGAGATTTTCTCATGCAAATTTCTGTTCTCGTGACCATATATGACTTTCTAGCAAACATTCCACATAAAAGCAACATGTCTGATCAAACAGGTGAATGCCCACTTTCCCACATTCTGCTCCATCACAATGAAGTTAAAAATCAGAAAAACTCATTTCAATTTTCCCAACTTTGATGCTTTAGATTTTCCAAATATTTGTTCAGAAACGGGTATTCAGGAGCTTGCAAGCTTCCAGTTCTTGTATTTGCTGAACTGTAGTTTGATATCAAAATGTTTAAACGATCAGGTGATATTACTGAAGTATAAAAGGCATCCTTTGTATTATTCTACAGACGGAGTATGCGCCAGAGGAGATGCCAACGGTCACGTAGCTTTCATCTGAGAATACGCTCCCTGCAAGTTCAACACAGCAGTAAAACGTTCAGTTCTTCTTTGGGGAACCTATCATGACCTTTGATACAAAGTTTACAATGGCACTGGCAGGCTGTTCTGGATCATGCTCGGCAAACAGGTGGCAGACGTTATCAGTTGCACTGCCTTGTTTCCTTGCAACAAAGCCAAATACTCTGCAGAAAACAAAAAGAAAAAACAATAGAAAAGATGATGCAGGAATTATTCATTAAACAAGGTCAAAACAGTGGTTACCAATCTGTCTTCTAAGAGTTTCTTGGAGTTTACCAGGGTTTCCACAGGAAGAGCAATGATAAACAAGCTTTTGTGAGAAGTAGTTTGCCCAGCCCTATTAATCTTTTTCTAAGCTGCACTGGCTGTAGAAGTGTGCACTTAAAATGTACTTTCAGTTCACACAAAACAAAGCTGAGGCCTCATTAGAAGGCATCTTACTGTATGTGAGAAATTATACAAAATACTGCATTAAGCCTGATGGAGACTTAATGCACATATTTTGCACCTTTTTTTGAATTAAAAACATGAGCACTCTGCAATCTGGGAATGTTAATTATATTTAACCTTATTTTGTCTGGCCCACTACTTAAGGCCCAGACTAGGAAAACAAATGTTGTGCGCCCCTGCTCTGACAGCTTCCTTATCCTTAACAGCAACGGATTTCTGAACACGTGCTTACCTGCCTCCTCTCTCCCTGTCCCACATGCCTTGCATGCATCTCTATCTTTACCCTGGCATGCCGTGCCTACACCACTATCCACAACAAATTGCTTAATGTTTAAATGCTATGTTAAATGGAATGAGGGCAGAGTCTAGTGCTCAGGCATGCTTGTATGCCAGTTCGACTACCCTACTTAGAGATTTAAGTGAAATAAAATTTTGCACAGTGTAGCTAGAAGTATCACATATGATATCTGTGATCACTCCACAGGGCAACTTGATATGCTCTCCCAAATCTTATAGCCTTCACAATTCCTTTAGAAGGTTCCTGAACTGGACTCTTACCCAGTACTACCAAAAGACGGCTGGATTTCATATATACTGTACATACATATACATACATACACATATTAATGTGTGCATATATAAACACAAACATGGTTATAGCTGTCAAAGGTAAACGTAAAAGTGACATGAAAAGACACCTGAGATACTAGAACAAAAAGCACACTCTTTTCTGCAATTTTGGTTGGCCCTAACAAAGGTATTGCCCATCTAAAGTTGAAGGGGAAAATAGATATTATCTATAAGAATCCTAATATTTCATAGCTACTTACTTTGCTGAAGGACCATCTTTAATCCATCTTGTTATATAAAACAAAAGAGCGGGAAGAAATAAAAGAATATTTTTGTTAGAGGGTTTTTTTTTTTTTTGGTAGCTTTACATACAATATGCAAACAATGAATTGAGAAAACATTAATCATCCTTACTTTCGGTCCTGTGGATCCAAAGCACAAAAAATAACACTACTGACTGGATAATGCCTTCTGAAAAAAAGCCTGAAAGGAAGGGAAAAATAAAATAAAATAGATGTTAGACATAAATTTATGACTAGAGTTTCTAGACTGTGTTTCAGGCCCTTTATGTGGCACCGGGGAGGGGAAATTCAAACACTGCTCTTTTGCCACAGCATTATTCTTAAAAAATATACATATATAGCAACTAACAGTGGGAATTGTGACCAGGGCTGCAGTGCATGGAGAAATTAAGGGGGGTTTCGCTGAAAATGTCCTGGTGCAACTGTTTATCTGACATGGGAAGAGATAACAAGAACCGCTGTTGTTTAGTGCCAAACAGCAGGTCCTTGGTGATAATCTCATTATATGAATTGTAACGTTTCTAGATTGCATTGGTAGGGCTATAAGCAAATGGATACATATGAGCATCTTGGTAACAATTCGTTCTTTTATCCAGCAACCTTTCATAATGAATCCTGTTATTGCTCTTATTTATTGTCCTTATCTCACAAGATACTGCAAAACTAAAATGCATATTTCATTCAACAGTAAGTACAGGAAATTGTTCTGGCTGAAAAGAACAACAAAACAAAAAATGCTCTGAGAAGTTTGATTAACGATAAATTTATTCAAATGTATAAGCAGTATTTAAATGCATTAGATTCACAATGTTTCTCCTAAGAGATTACCTTTTGTACAGATGTCATTCTGGATAGAAATATTGATTATGTATGTTTTTGGGAGTGTTATGGCCATGAGTGTGTTTATTTCTGTTTTGTCCCCATTTTTCTAATTAACTGTTTGTTTGGGGTTTTTTTAAGTTATGCCATGTACTCCAAAATTCTTTTGGCCAGCTGTTTAAGGACTGTTGTCCTGTGTTGGTCAAAGCACTCTGATGTTGGGTGAGCAGGTACAGGCACTGGGGCAAGCCTGGGCTGCCTCTTGCACAGGCTAGAAAGCTTCCTTCAACCTAACACTGAATGGCCATTCGGCAGCCTCAGAAAACTACACCGTTCTGAAGCAGTAATCAAAGGAAGCAGAGTGCCCACTGAAGGACTAGTAGTCCTACCATCCATAGTACAGTAGTGATGGTGGAGGAGGAAAAAAATTATCCCGAGGAGCCAGACTTCTGGGTTATTGAGAGTAGAGGAGGCAAAGGCACCAAAAGTACCCTGTACACCTGCCAATATCCACTTATTCTAGTACTGGAGAAAAACACCCCGAGTACAGCTGAACAAGAGGCTTGATGGTAGAGGGAGCATCACCTGGGATCATTGGGAAGTGGCCACAGTCTCTGTGAACACAATAGCACTTTCACAAAGTTCAACTTTTTCTAAATGCAAAAACTGCACACCACATGTAAGCATCTGAATTTGTTTGCAAATATAATTAGATGCATTTTATTATGAATGTACATAGAAATGGCTTAGGAAGACAGAAATCTACTGATTTTATTAAATAAACAAGCACACAAACACAAAAAAACATGCCTATAACAGTGCTGGACAGAATATTGCTTCCTGCACTTACTTTCTCTGATTGTCTGTCAATGTGATACCTTGTGCAGACACTTTGAAATGGACTACAGTGGAGGTGGGAGGAGGCTCTTGAGCTAATGTTAAGGTCAGGGCCTTCTGCACAGCTTGATGACCTGTTAGAGACTCCATTTCGACAGAATTCAGGTAGCAAACATTGCAAGCTGTAAAATAAAGTAATAGCCAATGATGAACAAGGCTACAAATAGAATTATTTGATGCTGATTTAGAAATTTAGTTTCTGGAAATGTTGAAGTGATGGTGGAGAAGGGGTGGAAGGGAGGGATCTTCCCCAGTTTTTTAGTGAAAATTTTGAGAAAAAGTGAGATGCATGCAATCTTAATTTTTATATCACCTTTCTTTTATCGAGGTTTACTTTGTTAAATATGAAAATAAAGTGTAGACAATAACTTCATTTACTAGTTGAATTCACTTTAAAATACTTATTACAAATGGAGCTGTAAGCTTATATACTTTTAATGACACTTAGAAATTATAACTCTCCATCCTAGGAAGCAGGCAATAGCAGACCACATCTGAAATCTTGCCAAGAAAACTGCAGGGACTAGTCCAGGCAATCACCAGGAGTCAACACTGACTCGAAGGAACAAAGATGGAGAAGGGGGGGGGGGGGGAGGAGGGGGAGGGGAAAGAAACTATAAAATTGGAAGAAAATTAAAGACAGAAGTTATCAGCATAATAATGAGTTATATACTCTAGCCTTAGGCTGTGTCCCCATTTGCATCTAATAATCAGATGAATATGTCCGAGCAATGTCTTTTTTTTGTTGTTACCCTATAGTGTCACCTTCATTTTGTTCACAACAAAGTATTCATAGTTCCAATGTTAGAGTGGTGTTTTCCAACCTAAACTGCCAGCCATCCACAACAATTTCAAGGTATGCAAATTCTAACACTATGCTGCTCTCAGGTGACCATATGGGCTACTTATTGGCCACTGCAAGAGGGTGCAGGCATGCTCATCCTCTCCAGACCTGGTCACTCTCTTTTAGAACCATTCTATTTGGTGCCCACGAACCCTGAATAAGCTAATAACTTAGTCGACTCAACTCTAATGCACATGAAAAATAATTCTGATACCAGCATTAAAAGATCAGGACCTACTTACTGACCTGCCCCTTGTTTCAGAAGCTCTGCAGCTGAATTTGCAGCTGTTTGCATGGAGGTTTCAGAAATCTCTTCCAGAGGGTCTACAAACAGAAATTAGTACAGATGTTTTCAAAATGAGTTGGACTGAGAAGTCAACCTGAGTACATTTGTTGGATGAAAGAATTTGCCATCAGATTTAAAGTTCAAGCATTCCTTATGCTGTATATAATAGTAGTGAGGGAGTTCTGAACATGGTGTAATGAGAGTTAAGTGGTTTAAAATCCCAATTATTTCTACATGTTAAGCTCATAACTTGGTATACTTGGCATCAGTGAAGGTTATTTTCTAATGTATGTGTTTCCTGTCACCTATAACAATTGTTGCATTATCTTCCTGCGTAACAGCTGTTGGTTGTTGACTTTTTTTAATCTGTTGGATGTTTTTTATAGTTACAGTGATGCTGTAATTTTATTGTGCTGTACATCACTGGGGGGAGGTGATGGAAAAAAGGTATCTAAATAAAATAAATAATAATAAATACCATGTGCCAAAATGGTCTTGTTTTCCAATTTATTTGATTGATCATCAGATATGGAATGACGAATTACACTGTTAAAAACCACCTTTACACTGAAGTCTATACTCTTCTAAATACCACAACCATTGTTGATTCATTGTTAGCTATAATGAAGTTGTTCTGAAAGTGTATTAACAGCATGTTTAACTGGAATACCTCGGTCTGGGATGAGTAACTTGCAAGGCAATGCCAGAGGGGTAATGGAATGTTGATACACCAAAGCTGTCAAACTTCCTGTAATTACAAAAAACAACACACGAAGTCAACCTTTTTACCGTTTAAAAGATTACATGCAGTTTTTGTAAGTCACATATACATTTTAACTCTTATATTCTGTATCTTCAGCTAATGAAATCACTGTTCTGAGCCACCCAATCCAAGGATAGATAGGCCAAACAAGAGAGCAACACCTACAGAACAGCTCGAGATATGCCTTCCCATTCATAGGGATGAGACTGGGAGAAACTGCATTATTTAATAATCTCCCTATGCAAAGAGCTAACTACAGAGCAAGACTGCACCTTTTTTCCTATTGTACTATGGTATAATATTTTTCTCTTGCACAGCATTTTTTTCACTGAGAGGGAGTTAAAATTACACTACCTCATCTTTTGTCCAAGTAATATAGGCCAGCTATCATATCCAGCTGGTTCTGCTTCATATTTCTTTGCTTCACATATTTCTTTCTATCTTTCATTTGTCTATAGGTTTATATTTGTGTAAGACTTCCATATTTGGAGAGTTACCCACCATTAGATGGTGGTTACAAAAACATTCAATCAAGAGATGAAAAGCCCATAGATATACCATCTACTATCTTTTATGTGTTTCATTTTACACTTCATCTTCAAAAGATAACTTCTATAACCTTAAAAGGGCCATTCTCCATGCTGTCAGTAGAACAGCAATGTGGATGGGAGTAAGAAATATGAGGACATTATAGATGGAAAGCCACGTTGGTCTATGGTAGCAAACAATCAAAAGGCATCTGATAGGACCTTTCCAACCAACAAATTTTTTAAAAAGGCATAAATTTTTGTGAGTTGCAGCTCATTTCATTAGACTCACAAAGTGGTCTGATGTACAGTAGGACTTAATCTGGGATAACACGGAGGGGATGGGAAGACAGGTTATGGAAATGCAGTTTACATGTGAGATATATTACAAGTACCTTATCAATTAAAAATTGTATTGTGTTAAAAACCCACTGGATTTCTTGAGACCTTTTGGGATTGCCTGAAACTTCTGATGTATTTGAGTTCAGCAATCTCACTCAATTATGCTGTTAAAGTCCATTTTTCCAAAATGGTTACTTTGAGGTCTATTATAGAATGTCCTAGGAGGCTGAAATGTTTTTATGTCTGCTCTGATATTATTTTATGCAGTTTGTCCTGATTGTCCTACGTAGAATCCAGTTGGTCATTGTTGGCACATTATGGCATATATCACATTAGAGCAGTGTTTCTCAACCTTGACAACTGTGTGATGTTGAATTTAACTCCCAGAATTCCCCAGTCAATATGGCTTTTGCTAATAATTCTGGGAGTTGAATTCTACATATCTCAAGGTTGGGAAACGCTGCATTAGAGGAGGAGCATGTGAAAGTCTCTAATCTTGTATGCATACTTTTTAGGGTCTGTGATGGCGTTGTTGGTGTAGATGTGAAGGTAAAGTAGACATCTGGGTTTGTGCAGGGTCTGGTTCCCTGATGTTTCTTGTTTTGTTGGGTGCTTGTCTGTATGCAAGTATGGGCCTGCACTTACCACCTGAGAAAGTCTAGTGCCATTGTTTATTATAATATTGTCTGCTGATAATAAATCTGTTATCACATTTTCAATCAATAAAAAATACAGAATACTGCAGTCAAAATTTACCATATCCATCAGTACTTTAATATTTTCTTTTAATTTTGCTTCATCCAATTTGTATGGATTTTTTGTTTTATAAAGGATCACACACATGGCCATCTAGACTATTCCAGAGTGGGCAGCCACATCAAATTGAATAAATAAAATTAATTAAATGGTGCCCCTAACTCAACTACCACAAATTAACACAGGACACATCAACCAGCAGGGCAAACAGGAGAGAAAAAAATCTTCCTTTTAGGAAGTGTTTTTTTCTTCCAATAGGACTCTGCTTTTATAAGGCTGTGGGAGCTTCCCTGGAACAGCTGCGTGAATGCATAGTGTAAACAAGAGAGACAAAATGTCAGAAAAATGAACAAAAGTATAAAGAGAGAAGCAAAATCTTAAGCTGATATCCAAAAGCCATCATTCATTTATTATGTAACAAGTACTTGCCCCGTTTTATGACTATTCCCTAGATCAATATATATGAATAATATTGATATAAAGAATACTTACCAAAATATGGCTCATTGGGACATCCTTTCAATCTCACTCCTTTGTGGGTGCATTCAATCAGAAAATGTCTCACAAGTTCATTGGAAATATCTCCAACTGTGACATACAATAATTGTAAATTAAATTACAGCAGCTGTAGTCTTATGAAGTACAAGCATTACAATTCAAGTGTATTCAGTTAATTGTGTACTCATATTACACAAGATAAGGGCTAGCATTTTATTTATTTAAGTATTTATATTTCAAATTTAGATACCGCCCATCTCACAAAAATGACTCTGGGCAGTTCACAATAAAACAACAATAAATATTAATTAAAATACAATAAAAACAA